ACGTTTTTTTATATCACTATGTGATATATGATCGTCACTACTTTTTTTATAGTACCAAAGGATCAATTTTTTGCATGTTGATGCCAAATTTCGTGATATGTTACATAAGAATATTTTACCCAGAACTTCCCTCTATATAGAAATTGTAAAAACAGGAAACTCCAAATTACTTAAATTTTAATAATTTAAAATTAAAAGCATATAATTATTTTTAACTAATAAATATTTAATCAAATTTTTTTTATTCTCTATTTTGAATACACCACAAATGATAAAAATACACTACTTTTTGAGATACATAAAAGTTGTTTAGAAGTACGTTGAAGGGTGACATGCAGACATAAATAAAATACACAACATAGGTAAATTTAATAGAAAAATTTTTGGAAATAAACCGTAATCAACATTTCCCTACGAAATAATACAATCCATTTCCGAACCTTCATGGGGTAAAACAAATAGTTGAAAACCTAAAAAAAGTCAGCAAGTAATCAATTTAAAAAAAAGTATTTTTTTGGGGAGCATTTGTCGGGAAGCGCATTTGTCGGGGTGCATTTGACCGGGGAGCAATTGTCGGGAAACCCCCTATACTAGGTATAAGTAAGTATACATAATGGAAACTGGTGATTTTTCATAAGTCCACTTTTGGGTGAATTTGAATTATTTGAACGATCATGTAAAAAAACGTTTTGCGCATTTCTGCAGAAATGCACACAATTCCAAAAAATCTTTTAGTTCAGGAATTTCACTTAAGTCACGCCCCCAATTTATTCAACGAGAAAACCACATACGTCCACTGTTTATTGTGTTTGATGCCGGTGATTTCGTTGTCCTGTTGTTTTGGTACCGGCTTTTAATGAATTTGTTGATTTTATATTGAAATATTGTTCTAAAGCACGTCAGGTAAGTTTATTTATATAAATTGTTTGATTTTATAGATATCCCTGAAATTAGCGCTGATTATAGCAATATTGAGAAAAATAATGGATTTTGTTCTGAAAATAGGCTTGAAGACGGAGTTTTTCAGTGACATATTATTAAATGAGATTCATTGTCCCAACGATTTTGAAAATTTAGAGCCAAGCTCCAAAGAACGTAACCTAGATGACCAAATAATTGAAGAGAACCAATGCGCAGAAAAAGCAAAAAGATAAGACGATCCAGACTGGGAAACCGCTTCTAGTTAATCTGACGAAGAACTATTGGAAGAAAATAATAATCTCGAGCAACAAAACAATACAACTGAAACAGAATTGGAAAATAAACCAGTGAATAAAAATAGACAACGACGCAAGAGAAGGCATGTTGATACTATAAACTGGGAACAGGAAAAAAAATCTGATGTGTCCAACACATGACTTTCCTATCTAGTTATTATAGGCTTTTTCCGGTTATTTTCTACAACCTATTGCAGCACCTCTATAAATGTTTAGAGGATAAGTTAAATATATACATTTTCCACATACATCTAACTCGACACATTTTTCTATAATATATATTCCATAACATATTAAAAACGGCCTCCCATAAAGTACCCTTCTCCCCCAGATGTTCCGCCTTTGTCCAAAATGTAATCATTTTACCTCAGGCCGAAATAAAACTTAGGTTTAAAATTTAATGTTTTTTTTTATCAGTTTTTGAGTTTTCTTCAAAATTCAAAATTTACACATTTTCTCAAATATCTCGAATACGGTCCATTTTACAGAAATTATGTATAGGATAAAAATTATAGAGAATTATATTACAAACAATTTTTATAAAAATTTATTTTTTTTACATTTTGTCAAATTTCTTGAATACGGACCATTTTAGGAAAATTTTATATGGAACAAAAATTATAGATAATAATATTGTAAGTAACTTTTAATTGAAGAATTTTCTTCTCCAAACGTAAATAACGAATATATTCCATAAAATATAAAAATGACCACCAATAAAGTACCCTCCCAAATGTTCCGACTCTGTCCAAAATCTAATCAGTTCACCGCAGGCTGGAATAAAGCTTAAGTTTAAAATTTGGTGTTTTTCTTTGTATCGGTTCATGAGTTATGGTGGATAGAGACACACACATGCACACACACACACACACACCCATACGCACACAGACATAGACATCATCCCGAAAATAGTCAAAACGGATTCAGGGGACCCCAAAACGTAAAAATCCGTAAAAAACTGGAGGTAGAAAAAAAGCATGATTCCTATACTTTCCTTATCTGTATACAGATAGGAAAGTAACAAAAGGAAAATGGATACTGGTCTAAAATATTTAGGAAAAAAGAAAAATGGTGATGATTGGATGTACAATATTGAAAACCCACAGAAAGCAATACAAGATAGATGTAAGTGCGTAACTAATGAAAAATCAAAGCTGAGATGCTCTCAGTTTACTGAAGATGACCGAAAATCAGTATTTGAGCAATTTTGAAAGATGCCTTGGAGTGAAAAGCGGGTATTTATAACGCAAGTTGAAAGTAAACACACATAAAGAAGTAGAAACAGGAAAAAGGAGGAAACCAGCAGAAGAACATGCACCTACATTTTCTCTCTGAAGAAAGCAGATGGGACCAAAATAAGAGTATGCAAAACTTTATTCGCCAATACAATAGTTATTAAACAATGGACCATTAATAGCTGGTTGAAGCAAAATCTCAACATATCCCAGCAAAAAAGAAAGAAAAAAGAAGATCAAACTGACATTAAAAAATAACCAAACGGAAATTAATGAAAAAAGCAGGGAACTAAGAAGAAGTCATTTAAAAGAATTTTTTGACCTATTGCCAAAAATGGAGAGCTACTATTGTCGAAGTTCTACTAAGAAATATTATTTGTAGCCTTACTGGAAATTCAAAAGTCAATTATACGATTTTTTCAAAACTTTTTGTTCCACAAACCATGACAATGAACGACTAATATCTATAGCCACATGTCATCACATGTTTTCAGACTTGAATTTAAGCCTTTTTATGCCAAAAAAAGACGAGTGCGACTTATGCGTTTGCTATAGAACAAAGAATGTTTCGGAAGAGGTTTATGCATTGCATCAGCAGAAAAAAACAAGAAGCAAGAACAGAGAAGGATGAAGATAAAAATAATTCCACTGATGAATATAAAGTGTACACTATGGACATGCAAGCAGCTGTTTCAAAGACTTTAGTTCTCTTCAATATTACCCTTCTATTACACCTGGAACATCAGCCACAGTAAACTACATATATAAGACAACTCAGATATGATCCAGGGGTAGTATTCTCGAATCACGAATACCGACATTCGCATACGTGTTTTACTTTGTGTCTCACTTTGTTGAACGAAAACCAAGTGAGACAAATCATAAATCTCGCATGCGAATCTATGTTCGTGACTCGAGAATACCACCCCTGTGGCACAATTGGCGAATGGTCATGTCTCCCAGTTCGACGTAAAAAAATGGCAACAACTTAAAGAAAATTGAAGATCTTTACCGCTATATTTATGCCGCGTTTGAGAATCCACATCGGATGCATCTGAGATGTAAAAAATCTTTGATCACGTGATTCAGTATACGTAAATGTAATGGGACAGATGTGTCCGATGTGGATAAAAAAACGCTCGAGATGTAAAAAATGCATCCGATGTGGATTCTCAAACGCAGCATTAGATCGGCTTCCAATCAAAAAAACAAAGTATGATCATCTTATGAGTTTAAAGACAAGTATGACAAGATTATCATGCTTTTTATGAACAATTACCTTATTCTTAGTTTTCTTATACTTAATAAACTTAATTCCTAATAGTGTAATTTATATACCGAAAATCCCATAACTCAAAAAAAAAATTCAAAATATCTCGAAAATCACGGTAAAATAATATAAAATCAAATTTTGTCAGTTTATTTTACCTACAAATACACAAACAAAATTAATTAAACACCTAAAAAAATAAAAAAAAAATACTTTACACGATTCCATAGTTTTACAGTTTTTCTCTTTCTTGTAAAATTAGCTTTTTGGGATTTATGTGATTTGCATAATATTAAGCCTACGTTATACTAAACTACAGGAAAAATATACTTAGCAATGGCAGACAGGGGCGCATATACAGGGGGGAGTAATGAGGGTAATTACCGCCCCAAAATTTTTTAAACCTAATTTTTTATAGGGACTAAAATGTATTATCAAAAATAAAGTCCTAAATATTACCACTACCCCCAGACTGATGGCAGACTTTGAATTATTTTTTCTATCGATTTTGCTAAAGGTGCTAAAAAACGTCCACCTGTTATTCCTATCTTAACTTTTTCTTACATGCATGCAAAAATTCATAAAATAAAATACACTCTGGAGTACATATACTATAAAACGTACTAGAGTTCAATAAATGAATTTTCAAGTAGTTAGGTAGCTAGAGATTTTTTGCTGACTTGACTGGTAAAAAAAATACTAGGTACCGCTCTAGAGTTCTGTCGAGCAAAATAGGTAGGTATGATAAATTTAGGTAGGTATCTACAGTAGGTACCTACCCAGGTATCGTTTGTTTTATCAGTAGGTACAGGAAATTATGTAGATTAAATTTTACATAAATTATTATAAAATATATATTAAATAATATTCTGAATAAGTAAATAGGAAATGATTACACATAATATATGAATATCGATATAGAATTACTTAAATAAAGGTACCTAATAGATAGTGCAACAATTTTAAAAATTACCTGTTTATAATTAGCATTAGCGCATGTACTACCTTCTGACCCTACTGTACTATGTACAACGTTGACTCCTATGTACTTACTTTCCACGTTTTAAAGGATTTAGGCAGGGTATATTATTACCAGTTTATATTTTTTTCACACATAACATAAGAATCAATCGCTAAAGTACACGTACTTTCTTAGTTTGGCAGATGCAATACTTAATTATATTTTTATCATAAAGTGAAGTGCCATAACCTCAAATTACACTAATATTAAAAATAGTTGAATCATAATTTTCATTCTTTAAAAGTGTTGTGTTAAATATGAATTTACCGTACGGAAAATTACTGGTGTACTTTTTAACGTTTCTGGGATATATCTATTCTGGATATGGGTCAGGATTTCTCAACAATTTGAGAGATGCTGTGATAACAGCAGAAACTGTTTTTGGCGAGGTATTCAAGAATGTGGTTAATGTTGCGAAGAAATTTAGAACCATGTCCGATGTATTTGATGCAGCTGTAGAGGAAGACTGTATCTTTAAATGTCCAAACAGTAAGTATTTCCTGTTATTTTCTTTGTTATATTTACCATTATTCCTATCAAAATTAAATTTTAAATTTTTATTTTAAATTCCGATAAATACAATTAGTAGTGTCTACTATTTCGAGCTACGGAAATATAGTCCACAGTATGGGCCGTGTTGTACAATGAATAAAAATTTTGTAATACATATTTGACTCAAACATAACAGAAATGTAATACATGATTTCAACCAAAACCCCACCTCAATGCGCCCTAGCACCTCTTTACTAGTCAAATGTTAATAACTTCTTGTGGAATTTGAAGAAAAAGTATTGTTCATGTGTATTTTGGTATTTAAATTATGTATACATCATGATAATGAGTAGAGTTTATGATGGTGGGTGGGAATAATAATAGCCGTCCCTTCCCCTGACAAGCTCAGCTTCTGGGGTTAAAATTCAATCTATGACATAAGTAGGTACTTACTGTGAATTTTTATTTAGCCATCCCTCTTAAAATCACTCAAATTTGTTCTTATGTGTTCAATGCTATGATGTCACGAAGATTTGAATTATCTATCAACAATGTGGTCACCTTAAGATGGATCAATGGTGACGTCACATCGAAAGGTAAACCGTCTTGCTGATTTACTAGCCAAGAAGCCAACCAATCAAATACTTTTTTGAACATTGGCCCTTGTGAAATTCAAGGAAAGATGGGATCAAACAAGCTGCAGAGTTGCCAGGGAGCCTTTAAGTTATCCTGACAACACTACAGCAAACAAATACTTGATTATAACTAGACAGAATCTGCACCTGACCACATACATTCTGACTGGTCATTGCCAAGTACTAAAACATCTCCATTTCATGGGGGTGTCAGAATATGCATTCAGTAGGGGGTGCGAACAAGAATATGAGACCATCGAGCATATCCTTTACGATTGCCCGAAGCTTTCATTTATTAAAAGATTTGTGTTTGGCAAGTATTGGCCGATACCAGCGGATATAAGAGAAGTACCTCTTGGGGACGTTGTCAACTACAATAAATCTGTAGGCTGGCTGACGAGTTAAGAGGGCATATTAATTTAGAAGGATGCACAATGGGCCTAGTGGGGCCTAAGTGCCGTTGGGAAACCCACGGTACAGATACAGGTTTGCTGAGTGTGGTAATTGGTAAGTACAACATATGCAAAATGTAATTTTGTTTATAATAATTTGATTTGACTCTTAGTAGAGATTTGGCAAAAATATACCTGCCGAGGGGTGAGAGGATAAGAGAAATAAAAGTTGTTTTGTTTAAAAAATTACTTGATTCAAAAGACCCACTTTTTTCGCGCATTAGTAATGCGAAATGGTCGAATAACGGGAAATGTGTATTGGAGATTTTACAAGTTTTAATAGACATACAAAAATTTTCGCATGCGAAAAAATATGTCACCGTTAGTGAATAGAACTGTAGAAAGACTAACAAAAATAAATGGTTGTATTGAATCTATCAAATGTCACCAATTTTCAGTAAAGGTACAATTTGGCAACGCGAGACCGGTGCAAGCGACAGACGACCGATGTTGAACTTACGTTTGCGTGTTTAAAGTGCTGTCACTGTCTCTTGCATCGGTCGCTCGATCCCAAATGTGCTTTATTTAATTACATGTGATTTAGACGCAAAGAGACTGTTTTCGGTCACTTTACGCAGTCGCTTCTCTCAGTCTCACGTTCCCAAATGGTACCTAAACAGTCTTTTGTAACTATTCCTATGTTAATTTTATTTTTACTGATATAGGTATATTGATATGTAAAATTTACCACCCATTAAAATAAATATGTTAATTGATAAATATTAATTAAATAAACTTTCTTAATTTTTAATAATCTAACAAATTAAAACATGACATTTTTATTAATATCATACTCGTCGCCGTCGATTATTGGTTATTTTGGCCTCGCCTTTTGTTTTTACTGATAATATGGGGTCTATTCTGTAACAATTCCTTTATATTTAACGGCCTTTAAAAATATTGGCGGCTTTTAAAAATATGTTCGTATTCGTTAATTTACTTCTGTCATTACTTAAATAGATTTCTTTAAAATAGTCCTCTAATGTATTTTAAAGATCCGTTTAAATAATGACAGAAGTAAAGAAGAAAATATTTTTAAAGGCCGTTAAATATAAAGGAATTGTTACAGAATAGACCCCAACTATGAATAATTATTGTCCTTGAGTAACTTGTTGATATATAGGAGCAGTAGTCACTGCGAAAAACCAGCTGATCAATTGACATCTTAATAATGATTTTATTTTAATATTCAGAATTCAGAGTGTTTTCAGTTGTAGTTATACTAGTATTAAGTAATACTTATTTCTAAAAGCATGCGTCCTTATCAGTTATCTAGTAAAATGAGTATTATAAAGTAATTTGTTGCGATATGTGATTTTTAAGTGTTGACAAAGAATATTATTTTGAAAAAATTGCAAATTAGGTGGTGGTGATATGTTTCCAATAAGTCGAATTGTAAGGTCCTTCCCTAAAAACTGGAATAGGACCTTCACGGTGGTGATTCAACCAACAGAAAGAACGTTTTTTAGTGCCACCAGTCCTCAAAAGGAGGTAGAAAAAAAAGTAGCATTTAATTTCAACAACTATGACTGTATAGGCTTTGATTTGGATAATACATTAGCACGATATAAAATAGGTAATATGTTGGAAATGGAATACAAGATAGTTTGTAATTACCTAATAAAAGAAAAAAACTTACCAACAGACATGCTGTTGAAGCCGATTGATCCAAATTTCTTAATAAAAGGTTTAATAGTAGATGATGAAAATGGCAATTTAATTAGAATTGCACCTGATGGTAGAATACTTCAAGCAACACATGGTACAAGGTGGCTAACTGAAAAAGAGATTTTAGAGTATTACCCCACAAGGCACTGGAAAGCAACTGATTTGTTTATAGAGGATCCACTACAAACTTGGAATGGTCCATATTCTGAGAAAATGAGAACTTTATTAGATTATTTTGATATTGTTGTCGGCTTAGCTTTTGCACGATCTGTTGATACTATTGATAAATATAATGGTCCTAAAAAAGAATATAATATATGGCCAACACTTTTTAATGCTTTAATGTATATGTTTAATCGAGAACATTTTGAACAAGATTTAGGAGAGTATTTCCCAGAAATGAAAAAAAATCCACATCAGTACTACTACAAATGCAGTGAAAATGTTGAAAAATGGTTGCGAGAGTTAAAAAAAAGAGGAAAACAGTTATTTTTGATTACAGGGGCTCATGCAGATTTTGCAAATCATACAGCAACATACACAATTGGTAAAAATTGGAAAGAATATTTTGATATTGTTATCACATATGCAAAAAAACCGGGATTTTTTATACAAGAAAGAGATTTTATTGGTTTAAATGATAAATTCCAAGAAACAGATCCAATTGCTACCAAAGATTTGCATCGAGGAGGAATGTATACTTATGGGAATTGGATAGGTTTAAGAGATTTCCTTACACAATTAAGTAACAAAACGGATCCTAAATTTCTGTACATTGGTGATAATTTGATTCAAGATATTTATGTTCCACATGTTCATACTGAATGTGACACTGTAAATGTGTGCGAAGAACTTGAAGCTGAAAGTTCCTTTGGATTTACAAATCAGGAACATCCTGATAAACATGTTCTTTCTTCAACATTATGGGGTTCATATTTTCATTGTAAAGATACTGGAAACATAACGGTTTGGTATAATTTAATGAGGAGACATTCCCTTATTTGTGTACCTAGTTTAGAATATATAGCAAAGTATCCTGTAGACTATCAATTTGAATTGTCCAACTCGTAAGTGGATTAATTTCATTAGCTTAGCATAATTATTTTTGTTTGTTTGTTTGTCTTGTATTTTTATAAGTCAAACCTGTAATAACTGTGTTTTAAATCGTAACTCAAAATAATTTTTAGAAGGAGAAATGTATCTCTAAAAAATAATAACCAAGCATAAATTCAGTGATATTTTTGTTATCAAGAAAATTTTGCAAATAATTTTAATATTTAATTTCCTATAGATAAGCACACATTTTTTGCACAGTACTTTTAAAAAATTATCTATTTGATAATACAAAGTTGATAGTAACTAGGTACCTATAGTAATAATTTGTAAAACGTATTTGTTTAGTTTCTCATGGGATTGAAACCATTTGGAATAATCAGGACAGTTGGTTCTGGATATTTAAATAAAAATTAGGTCTTTCTTATTTTTCATGAAAACTACCCATATTGTTCTTTTTAAATTTTGTTACACTTTTCAATTTTATCAAAGAATTTTAATATATTGGATGACCCAGAGGCTATTTGTACACTGTTAATAAAAGAGACACAATTCAAAAAACTATATATTTCAATAATGCTATGCTATAATGTTCTTTCAAAAGTTTTAACAAAACTTTTTTCTGTGCTCTTGCAACCTAACATATTACATTTTTTGAGTTGTCATTTTGTTGGCATTTGGGAACTTTTTAAGTCAATTTAAAATTTTAAATAATAATTTACTAGAGGTATGTCTATCACTGGAATGAAAAAGTAGGATACTTATATAATTTTTGTTATTCCTTGGAACTTAAAATATTTAAAAAAAATTTAAATCAAACTATACTGTGGTTCAAAATTATCGCTCCACTAGAAATCTGGATATAAAAAGTTTCTAATATACAGGGTGTCCCATTAGACATAATTGTTCAATATTTCAATTTGAGTTATAAACATGCAAACAAGTTTTAAATAAAAGTTATATGGATTTTAAAAATATTTTTGGATATACAGGGTGTTGCTTTTTTGCCTGACAAATAAAAATGTATATCTTTTAAATAGAACATCCTGTATTTATTTCATTTTTAGAATGGTTTGGTAATAATATACTCAATCCTAAAAATTTTTAAAAAATATTACATGATTGCCAAGCAATTAATTTTTTATGAACTTAGAGAATGATGCAGACTCCAAATTAAATTATAATAATTTAGGTAAATTTACATTGATTTCAAAATTGTTTAATGTACAGAATTATAAGATACTAAGCTAATGAATAGTGGTGATAGAACTGGTTTATTTTATACAGAGTAGGTATTTTGAAATGTCTTACATATGGCCAATTTTAAGTTCAATTTACACAATTTTTTTAAATACAACACCCTGTATATTATTTTAGCATAAAATTCCTTATAAATTTGCCTATCCAACGATATCAACATATTAGCTAATAATAATAATAATAATAATAATAATAATAATAATAACAATAACATATACAGGGTGTCCCATCAGTGCATAATTGATTGATAGCTGTTTTATTATTGAAAATACGAAGATATTTTTAATATAAAAGTTGTTTGACCCTATTTAACAATTATTCTTAAATATACAGGGTGATCCATAAACGAGGTGCTGACCAAACCCATACCTTTTTAAAGCAAAACACCTTGCAGGTAGTTATACCATATTTGGTTGTTTTCACATCGTCAAACAATTTTAATTGACTTCATTCGTTTGCTACGAGTATGTTGTATATAGGGTGTGTTAAAACGCGAGATTACGATTTTCTCAGTTTTTTAAATGGAATACGCGGTATTAATTATCTAATTAATAAATAACATACAGGATATTCCATTTAAAAATTGAGTAAATCGTAACTTTGCATTTTGTCTCACCTTATATAATACAACTTAGTAAATGAAAGAAGTCTATTAAAATTGTTTGACGATGTGAAAACAATCGAATATGTATCGCTATCTGTAGGTTGTTTTGCTTTAAAAATGTATAGATTTGGTCAACTCCCTTGTTAATTTAAAAATTTAAGAATAATTGTTAAATATGGTCATACAACTTTTATATTAATTTTATTTCGTATTTCCAATAATAAAATAGCAATCGATCAATTACACACTGATGGGACCCCGTATGTGTTATTGGCTAAAATTTTGGTATCGTTCGACTGGTAAATTTATAAGGAATTTCACACTAAAATAATATACAGGGTGTTACATTTGAAAAAATTTAGTGAATTGAACTTAAATTTAGCCATATTTAAGACATGTTTCAAAACACTCTGTATAAAATATTCAAGTTTTATCAGCACTCTTAGTTAGCTTACTATCTTATAGGTATGTATTTTGAACAATTCTTAAATCATTGTAAACCTACCTAAATTATGATAATTTAATTTGGTGTCTGCATTATTCTCTAATGTCATAAAAAAATTTGCTTGGCAAACCTGTAATATTAAAAAAAAATTTAGAATTCAATTTAAAAAGTATACATTTTTATTTGTCAGGCAAAAACGCGGCACCCTGTATATTCAAAAATATTTTTAAAATACCTATTTTTTAAATCCATATTACTTTTATTTGAAATTGTCTTCAACACAAATTGAAATATTATCTACTAATGGGACACCCTGTATATATAGTCAACCGTTATTTCTTCATAAATATTATTTTTGTTTAATCAGAGTATACTACTCTTTTTCAGTGATCTGTCTATGTTTTATACAGGATGTTTCATATAGAATGGTAAATATTTTTACTGTAGGACAGGACCTCTAAATATTAATATTTTGCTAAATGACACTGGGTCAAATAGTATCTACTTTTGAGTTACATGGTGCTAAAATTTATTTTCGTTATTTAACGTATTGACTCGAAATTTGGAATGGGTATATTTTTGTACTAATAACTCCTAAGCATATTACCAATTTTACTGGATGAAGAAAACTATTAATTTTTTTATTCTTTGAATTTCTAAAAATTTTTATGGTACAGCCTGAAAATTTGAACAAAAACCGTATAATTCATTATTTGACAGCTATACATTTTTATTTTTAATCCTACCTTCTTGAAATATTGTAAAGTAAATTAAATTAAATGGCTAGAAATTTTTTCAAAATTGGTTGAACTTATGCTCTTAAAACAAGTATACTCACGTTTTTACTTAAAATTTACAGTGTGTTCCATATGACTTGAAACAAATTTAGAAATGTCAAAAATATAACCCTACCAAATTTCAAATACCTACATACATTAAAAAATAGTAACGAAAATATTGCAAAAAAACAAAAATAAATTTTAACTTTAACACACTGTATCTCAGAAGTAGATAACATTTGACCCAGTGTTATTAAGCAAAATATTAATATTTTGAGGTCCTGAACCTATGGTTAAAATATTTACCATTTCTTATGAAACACCCTGTATATTTTGACAGCAGAAAATTATCCAAACTATTGAGCGAGTCGATAATTTTGAATAGTTTTAGTTTTTGATAATCTTGGGTTGTAGGTTTTTTGTTTTTTTTTCTGATTTGTGAGCTTTCAGCGCTTGTTTGTGCCTTCTTTAGTACTAGTTTTTATTATTATTTTGTTAGAAATTAATCAATAAGTATTATTATTTTAGTGCAAACAAGCGCCTGAAGCTTATAAATTAGAAAAACTGTAGGTTTATTAAAAAAAAACAATAGATTTTGAAAAACAAAAATTTACAAAAAAATAAGGTATTAAAACTTTATGGTTCTAATACCTTATATTTTGTAGAATTTTCCTATAAATTTGTGGTAAAATCAATAATTTTGAACAGTAGTATATTTATAGATGCTGTCATTTGGTATACCTTCTTTTAAAATGTATGAATTTATTAAAAGATTCTGCTTCGATTTGTAAAAGTTACTTGGCATACAATGGAGTAATATCTCTTAATTCGAATTGTCCAGGTGGACATAATACCAAATATTGAATTTTATAAAAAAAACGAAGTTTTACAACTACCTATTGTTTTTAGAGTATACCTACAATTTTAAAAAGTTTTCTGTGTTTTTATAAAAGTTTATTTTTGTTGATGTGTTTAGATTTACTTTCTAATAAATATAATAGGCGCCAAAGCATTTTCTTAGGGTTTTGTAATCAGTATTTAACAAATAAATTATGTGCAACCAAAGTATAATTGTAATTAAAAATAAATATTTAAACAAATATTGTGAATTGTCGTTAAATATGTTCGTCATAAAATGTTATCATGAACTCCAAAGATCAAATCATAATTATATATTATATCCTTTAAAATAAGGAAATAATGTTTGGACTGCTGTTTTTCAACTTGTGCAATTTGAATTTTACCTTGTATTTGTTCTTGCTTAACCGAAAATAATAAAAAATCTATTAGTAATAATAGAAAAACGTAAAACGTAAAAAATACAAAACCTATTAATTTGTACAAGTTTAAAAATGCATTTTATCTGTGTATAATTACTTAGTATACAGTTTTGGAAAGTTTAAAAATTTAATAACTAACTTTCAATAAATATTTATTAGAAATAAAATGTCGCTTTTCTTTATCTTTGTGTTCACAAAGTCCTAAACAAATCGCTTCTATTTAAATACTTTATCACTTATGATATCTTAAATGTGGTCATCTTCAATAATAAGATAAAAACAAAATGAAACCAACATAATTTATTTAAACTTAACAACCGGTTTAGACACAAGGGTCATCAGGCCAAAGAGCAGTGGCGGCTCGTGGGCACTAGCGGCAGTGGGGCACACACTGGAAAGGAATCCCGGGATTCGTTTTTCCCTTAGGAAAACAAGTTCTCCGCTTAATGAAAATTATATATATATATATATATATATATATATATATATATATATATATATATATATATATATACCGGGTGTCCCAGATTTTTTTGCCCAGCGGATATCTCGGTTATTTAATGATATAAAATTGTAAAAAAAAATATGAATAATATTTGTCTAGTAGCCTTTTAAATTCCACTACATAAAGTTATATTCATCAATCCACCCCATAGGAACAACCCCTAACTTTTTTTTTCAAATGTCACCCCTATATTTTTTTTCGCTGATATAAATACTCAATTTGTCCCGAATACAACGATATGATTTTTGATATACTTTACAGAGTCATAAAGCCGGTAAAGACTAAAAACCAATGTTGTGGTTAAAGTCATTAATAATTAGTTTACATTTTATCATTTTATTATATTAAAAAATAACAAATCCAATGAATAGGTAAACCTCTTAATATGTTTTTTAAATAATTGAATATTTACAAAAATTGTTCGAAATGGCCCCCATTACTTGCCAAACATGCTTCAAAACGTCGAATGAGTTCACGAGTACATGACGCTGTAATCATTTCTGGTGTAATGTTATTGCAGGCTTGTACTATTTTATTTTGCAAATCTTCTAAATTCAATGGCTGTGTTTCAAATACCACGGTCTTCAGATATCCCCATAAAAAAAAATCTAGAGGCGATAAATCTGGTGAACGCGCAGGCCACCTCAAAGGGCCGCTGTTTCCGATCCACTGATTTTCAAAGCGTTCGTTTAAAAATTGGGTAACTAAATTACTATTATGTGGAGGAGCTCCATCTTGTTGCCACCACATAGCACCTCTTTCTTGTATTGGAATTTCTTCAAGAAGTTCTGGAAGGTCATTTTCAAGAAAGTGTAAGTACCTAGCACCAGTTAACGTACCTTGAAAAAAATAGGGACCTATCAGTCGTCCCTGAAATAATCCACACCACACATTTACTCCCCAGATGGTCTGAAAGTTAGTTTCCCTAACCCAGTGAGGATTTTCAGGAGACCAATAATGCATATTGTGACGATTTACAGTAGCATTATTGTGAAACCTTGATTCGTCACTCCACAATATCTGGTTCAAAATGTTGGGATTTCGTTCCATTAAATCTTCAAAATGTGCTATTAATGTTATCCTTCTTTCGAAATCTCCAGCTCTAAGTTCCTGATGCAAATGAATTTTAAACGGATGAAAATTATAGGATTT